GGGGGGGGGATGTGGATGTGCGTCGGATGTGGATTTGCTAAACTGAGGTGTCACCCTCAGCCGGCTGCTGATGCCACTGAAACTCGCAAGTTTTTTTCCATTTATATTTAATTTTTTTAAATTTGACAACTTTGCCCTGTGATGTTATCTGCGATGTTCGTGCACCGGCTTCAGTGACGGCATGTTGACGGCAGAACAGGAAGGACTCCCAGTATGCAGGACGCACCAATTTTCGCATGACCTTTACAGATCTTTTTTTAACACCAAGTTCACTTGAGCCTCGTCAGCGGTATTTTCACTAAGCGGGTTTTGCATGACAACCGCATTTTGTTAAAAATAATATACACTTTTGTAACATCTACGCTTCATATGTATGACAGAGTGCAGTGAAACCAGAAAGCATGTGAGGTGGCAGAAGGTGACCGGCACCAGATGTACAGAAAGCAGGCAGCTCTTTGAGAATCTGCCCCGAGGGAGTTACACAGGCAGGATCTGACACGACTCTCCATGGTTGTTCACATTTGACAAGTAATCGCTGTCCAGCGAGGTCTTGCATCATTTGAGACTCTCTGGAAGACAAGAAGGGTGGGAGAGGAGTGTCTGGGAGCAGAGGGAGGGAGAGGGCTGTGACGATGTCCCCCGACTCTCGTGCTCCTGGCCATCAGGCTGGTCAGTCTCGTTGCGTTTCCTCCGCCCTCCGTTAGTCTCCGCCCTCCGTTAGTCTCCGCCCTCTGTTAGTCTCCGCCCTCTGTTAGTCTCCGCCCTCTGTTAGTCTCCGCCCTTTGTTAGTCTCCGTTCTTTATCCTGGTTATAAACAGGACAGAGGAGCCAAAGCAGAAGAAGCAGTTGGGCGGTAAAAAATGCGATTTGCTTGCCTCCGTTTTTAAGAAGAGCAAAATGATCGGCGTGTCATTTGGCTAAATGCACACTCCTTCAGAGGAGGAAATGCGAATTTGCAGCGTGTAATGCTTTTCTGCGCTTCTCCAAAGGCCCCTTTTCGCTTCTTTTTATTCTGTTTTTCAGTTGTTTTTAACAGTTGTTTTTTTTTTTTTTTTAAACAAAAGCCACATATTCATTTCTGACTTGACTTCTGATTATTTTCCTCGTCTCGTCTTAAGGTCACCACCAAACGTTTCGTCGTCCCCTCTGGCGAGGCTCGCGGTGGCGGAGGCTCCCGACCTCGGGCGTGTGGGTGTAACCTTTACTTTCAACTCAAAATGGAAAACTTAAAAAACGGTGTTCCTGTACACGGACATCGAGGGAGAATGTTAAGGAAGCACCGCGTGTCTTTGTATCAGCTGTATTGAATTTTAAAGTCCCCATTTGAATGCAGTGCGTTCTGCAGTGATGTTTCTAGAAAGACCATGGTTTTGCCCCATTTGTTAAATACTAGTTAACTAGTTGACGGATTGGTTTATCGGTTGTTCTCTTATCTGGTCTCCATGTGTGTGAACGCCCTACACTGCACTGCTCTTTACATAGTCTCTCTCTTTAATTGCTTTAATAATTTGACTACCTCAGTATATAGTTTACTTCTTTTGTAAACTGTTTACATCTTGTGTATGTTGTTTGCTCCGTTTGTCATTGCATCAGCTTTGAAGGTCACTGACGTAACCATGTCACACTATGACAATAAAACCTTTCAGTCTTGATCAGTTACAGTCTGTTTTCATGTTTTAGTGGAAACCCTGTCGGCATTTAGGTTTTATTTTGGGCTCCCCGGGGGTGTGTTCTTCATCATGTGTTCCGTTTTGTGTGTATAGGCCTCCTGAGTCTCTCGGTGCAAATGCGGTAGCCACAGGGTGACACCCCCGTCTTCAGGGGAGCCTCGCGCAGACACCGGCGTCTCACTCACTCTACGCCCACAGGACCATCGTGCCCTGGAAGCTCTTCCGCCAGTGTCTTCATGAAGTCCATCCCATCACCTCTGGCCTGGAGGCCATGGCCCTCAAGTCCACCATCGACCTCACCTGCAACGACTACATCTCCGTCTTTGAGTTTGACATCTTCACTCGGCTCTTCCAGGTGAGCGGAAACCCCCGGGACTCCCCTGCCCCCACAGCATTGTTCTGGGTAAATTCACAAGCAGATGTTCAAAGCCAGTGGGAGAGAGAGATGAGCACTAAAACAGGGGATCACCTTTTTTTCCCCGAGGTGGGTGTGTTTTTATTGTCTTTTTTGATGTACAGGAAACGCCTGCGCTGGCTGCAGAGCAAACAGCAGACTTTTCCGTCCTCTTCTTGTGCGTGTAGCCCTGCGTAAATCCTCCCCAAGATGCGTCACTTTTCTGTCTTTTTCTTTTTTCTTTTTCCTGCTGAATGAGAGGAACAGCATCTAAACTCTTGTTTATGCATGGCGACCTTGGCCATAATCACTCATTAATGCTCATAAATGTTTAATTAGCACATTTTTTTCATGTAATGAGTTGAGGGTATAGCTGGTGGGGATTCTGTAGAGGGGGCATGTATCATGTGATCTTTCATTTCAGCTTCGCTGCTAAGTCAGCTGACACTTACCGGGGGAGGGGTGGTCCTCACCTTGGCTGTTAGTACCGTAAGCCCAGGTGATGTTGCGCCGTTGGGTGAAACCCGATTCAGCTGCTCCTCCTCTGCCCCGGAGTGAATCGCATCTATTTTTAGCCACAATACTGCCCCCTGCAGGTAGTGCTGTGTAGACAAAAGGCCGCTGACGGCTTCCTTTGCATGACTTGCCCATTACCCCTGATACCTCCCCCACCATATTGCTGTTGGATGACCGCTTGTACTCCGCTCGTCACAGTCTGTAGCTCCCGGAACATTCTCCGTGCCTCTCTGTGTCTTTACGGATAATAGCTTTGCATTTCCCTCCCGGGATGCCAGACAGGAAGGAATGTAACCTGCCTTAAGTGGGTGGGGGAGGGGCGGTCCGGAAACTTCCGGAGGGTTCTATTTCATCCACGCCCTCACTCCTGTGCTGCATGCTCTCGCACACCCTTCCCGACCGGCATCGACCGCCCTGCGGCGAATGAGCCAGGGGTTGCGGAGGAGGTTTGTAAACATGCAGACAGACAATTGTGGTAGCCATACCTCCTCCTCTGCATCGTCCCCCTGCGGCATCCCCCCCCCCCCCCCCCCCGCCCCCCCGGGGGCCCCCCCCCCCCCCCCCCGC